AGTTTTTCTTCAAGGAACTCAGAATGCAACAGGATAGGTCAATATCCAGGCAGTGGAGCAGCAAGACCCAGGGAGCCAGGAGCAGAGCTGCTGCCACTGCATTCTGAAGGACACTGGGAAGGAGCTCTTCACCATGTCTTTGTCTCCAGTTCTGGAAATACAAACTTTTAGCATTACATTTGCTTAAAGTAATTTTATGAAATTCAAATGACTTCTACTGAATACAGATGGTCCAATGGAGTGGGTTGTCCTTAAGTGGGAATCGGTGATCTCGTGAACTGGCACGTGTGGCAGAATCTAATATCCATTCCATGGCCCATGGTCACGTAATGTGGTATTTGGTAGAGGGAAAGATGTTCTATAGAGCATATGTATGTGTGTAGCCAACTATCCTTTCATATGCTTGGTGCATCCTTCTGGTACAATCTGTCTTATTAAGAGAAGAAAGAAATAAAGGAAGAAAGAGGCTATAATTAGGCTGAGAAAATCATGCTAATGAAAGTACTTCCATTTGTAACAATACATAATTGGAGACTTGTTGCCTTGCTTTATTTTCCTTTTTATAAAACCTTATTTTCTGTTAACTCTTTCGAGGAAGGAAGGCTGTATTTTTGCTCACCCTTTGAGGCTGCTGTCCATCATGGTGGGGACCATGGCAGCAGCAACGTGAGGCACAATGGTGGTGCCATTGTGTGCATAGTCAGGAAGCAGGGTGATAAATCTGTCGCTCAGCTGCTTCATCTCCTTACTCAGTTCAAGGCTCAGGCTGCAGCTCCTGCTGCCCCTTCGTCTAATTTTTATGTCACACGTTTCGTGTGGGGCTGGAGAGATGTGTCAGCAGTTCAGAGTGCCTGCGGCTCTTCCACTGGACCTGGATGAATTTCCAGCACCCCTGTGGAGGGGCTCTAATGACCTACAACTCTAGCTCCAGGGGATCCATTGCCCTCTTCTAGTCTCCAAGGGAATGCATGTGGTTTACACTCACATGTATATACACTCACACACACACAAATACCAAACAAATTTAAAAGCAAACAAAAGAATCTTAAATATATATTAATGAGTTTTTTATGATACTCAAATGATAAAAAGATTACAGTCCTCCCATTGCAGCTGCTCTCTACCTGAGAGACACGATGGGGAGTCTGGTGACTTTTTCATGACATTTCCACCTCTACACAAATGCATGTACAAAGATTGTCATTGTCTCTTGTTTTTGCTAAAATGAGTTCCTATGGAATAGGTTGTCTTGTACCTTTTAAAATATTGTACTTCTTGGAAATATTTTCAGGCCACAGAATTCTAATAAAATGTTGCCATCCTCTATAAACATACAATATTAATCACCGGAGTCCACATTGTTTACAGTCACAGCCCCAGAGTAGGACATTGACAAGACTTAGCACATATTTTATATAGCTCCCCGGGCATGGGCAGTTCACTTGGTGCTCAGGGACTGTGGGACATCTTGATTTGAGCGTAGAGCTCATTGTAAGACGGTCATCCTGGCTGTGGATGGAGGCCAGTTTTAGTGTACTTGCCAAGCATGCATGGAGTCCTGGGTTGTAACCTCAGCACAGCAGAAACCCACTCACAATGGCACACACCTGTGATGCCAGCACAAGGGGAGGCAAGAGGATGGCAAGTTTATAGTCATGCTTGGCTACATAGGAGTTTCAGGCTAGCGTACATTACATAATGAGATCCTGTCTCAGAACAAGAAAGGAAAACAATCAACAACACTGTACATCCAAACTGAAATGACTATCCTACCTCCATTTGGTAAAACCTAATGTTATGATATCTCCCTGACTCTCTGTCCTCCCACAAATGGGAGTAGGGGCAGATACTGATGGTGCAGGAGAAGCTTTAACCCCAAGAATATCTGCTACTTTGTCCTCAGCATCTTTAAGAAGTCAATGCATGGTTTATTTAATTCTCTCTTTGGTCTTGGGAGACAAGGAAGACTTGCTAAGTGACAATGCCTTCTGGAAACATTTTGCTTTGACCAGTGTAGCAACTTATGGTTGCCAGAAAAGAAAATGATCGCAACTACTGAACTCTGGAAGCCTGTTTAGACCAGTTAGTAGACCTGAAAGTGGCGTCAGGGCATGGCGAAGCTTAACTTTGGAAGTTGCATCCTGTCTCCCTCACTTCTGCAAGCAGAGACTCTCGTCTACCTTCATTTACTGAGACTCACCCACTATTAACATGGGCTGTAACAAACATGTATTAGGATGATGGTAGCTGAATGGCATACCAGTGAGTATAAGGAGTCAGCTTTCACTTCTGCCTCTGCACCGGGACCCTCTCCGGGCTCCATCTATATTCTAGGCTTCTGTGTTTCACTTTATTCGTCTGCAAGTTGAGAAATTTGTTCTAGGTATTTAAAATCCTATTATTAAAAAACCATATTAATGGTCAGCATGATCTCCAGGCCTGGAGTCTGCACTCAGGTGAAGAGTTTTGCTGAGTCTCTAGAAACAACCCAGCAGAAATTTGGTTCTTGTTTTTTGTTTTACTATGTCTTAGAAAAAAGGTCTTACTATATAGACCAGGCTGGACTGGAACTCACAAGATAAACCTGCCTCTGCTTTCTAGGTGCTATTTTAATTATTTTCTTAAGGTTTCCTGAAAAGAATGAATAGATGTTATCTGGCAAAAGTTGTTGAACTAGAGTGACTCAATTTTAAGACAAAATACTTAGAGGTGTGGCCAGGAGATAACCACGGAGTTACAAAAGAGACCTGCCTTTATCCATGGGCAGATCTGGAAGACTCCATCAGCTGCAGAGTCTCTCCTATGTAACTGGTAAGTACAGTCTCCTGCAGACTCATGCTGGAAGAAACAATCATGATTTGGAGTTTCTGTACCATATGGAATGATACATGGGATGGTGTGGGATTGTGTGCAGGACATAAGAACATTGGGGAGTGAGTCTCTAGATATCAGGGCAATTTAGCATCCAATAGAGTATTAGGACTCTTGGAAAGTGGAATGGAATAATGGACTTTCATAGATAAATTATTAAAATGATCTTTGGCAAAGTTAACATGAGAAATAAGAAGAAACCTATAGAAAACTGTCTGGTCCTTTTAGATTAAACCCTATATATTTAGCCCCGAGTCTAAGTAAAGTGTGATATTGTATATAACATGGAAATGGGCCCAGTGAGGTGATTGTAATTGAGCTGAGAGCATTGATATATCTGCAGTCTTGTTCCTTGATTTTGTGGTCCGCAAAGTAAAAATATTTGTAAGAAACAATTTGTTTGAAGGAAAGGGAGAGCCTCCCAGGAGCTGCAGGTCCCGTGCTAGGTGTGAGAGCTTGGTCAGAAGTAGGAAAGTTTTGCTTTAGTTGGAGTGTTGGAGAGTGGAAGCGGGTTTCCACTGTGGGTTGGTGAGCAACTTTTAGCATTTGTTTTTAATGACTGGGAATTCAATAAATTCTTTAAATATTGAGGGAGATGTCTAGAGAAAACCTTCATAAGGTTTTTGTAAATGTATGCATTTATGCTGAGGAGAATTGGTGCAATCCTCCCCCAGACTGTTTCATCCTCTCAGCTGTCTGTCTGTCTGTCTGACCTACTACTTCCCCTCACTTCCAGTTACTGTGGGGTGGTTGTGCCTTCCCTCTCCAGGGCTCATCCTGCAAGTCCCTCCCTCATTTAACCTGTGAACTATTATTCTGAGTTTCCCTTTCAAATGAGATGAAAAACTAAAATGAAGTCCATTCAGCTGGGGGCTGGAGAGATGGCTCAGCAGTTAAGAGCCTGTACTGCTCCGGTAGAGGATGTGTGTTCAGTTCCCAGCATCCACATCAGGTGGCTCAGAACCACCTGTAATGCCAGTTCTAGGGGATCTGATGTCTCTGGACTCCGCAAGCACCTGCACCCAAGTGCACAGAGCCACAGAGAGACATAGTATTTTAAGATATCATAAACAATTTTTTTTTAAAAAAATTACTAAATCTATCTGGGTGTGGTGGCACATAACTTCAGTCCCAATACTTGGAAGACTAAGACAAAAAAAAAAAGGTCTCTATGAGTTTAGAGTGAGTTCCGAAAACACAGCTAAGTGTACATATAAGACCCTGTCTCAAAAAATAATTTTTGAGTCACTTGTAGTAGCCGCATCTGGAATCTTCTGACTAGAAGTGGAGTTAATGAAGTACTTGGCAGGCTTTCTTGTGTTTTTATGGTTTATCAATTAAGAAGCCAACCTTGAAATTCAGATGTGAATTAATCTAAAGACATGTAACACTCACCATAAATGGGCTTAAAAGTAGCTGCCTTAGGGGGTTCCACAAGCATTCAATGCCTGTGAGTAAATAGCCCATTGTCTCCTTCACAGCAGATTCTCCAAAAGTTGAGCAAACATTAGTGCTATTTTGAAAAAACAAAACGAAATCTATGCCCTGGCAATGCTGAAGCATACATGGCAGCCCGTATGTGGCAGTTCTATTGAATTGTCTATATTGGGTTTCATGGTCTATGTTGATGAGGACGACTGACCAGGTCTCTTCCTCACTGACCTAGTTACCTAGGAATCAATCTAGGCATGGAGGGGCTCTGTGAATGGAAGGATTTGATCTGTACCTGGTGCTTTTCTGGGTGTCTCTAGACATCCCCAGAAAGACATGATCTCAGACACCGTGTGTGGAAGCATGAGAGGTGCTTCATATTCTCTCTCAATCCATCTCGCTAGGGTTTTTTGGTTGAGATTCAGGAGTTAACCACTGGCTCTGAGCAGCAAAAGCTCTGTGTTCTTCAGAGAGCAAGTCCACCTTTGCCAGTAGAGGGCTGGTCTCTGCTCAGAGTTCTACCAAGAGAACACACTCTTGTCTCTGCCTCCAGATTTCTCTGTGTGTTGCCTTATTATGTCATGACCAGGAGTGAGGTTGCTGACTGTATGTGAGGAAGGACAAGGAAAGAAGAGGGTGTTGGGGAGGACAGGGGTCCCTGGCAGAGAGGCCTGTGTGAGTCACAGTCAGAATGCAGCCCTGCCTGGGTACAGCGCGCTGAGTGCCACAGCAACCAGAGCGTCTCCTCATTGTCCTCCAGGTCAGCACCATGATGCAGCCTCAAGTCTTCATTTCAGGCCTCATACTTCTTCTCCCAGGTAAGTGAGTGGATGAGCTGGGGATGCTGGGGAAGCCAGAGGTGCCAGAAGAGGTGACAGTCCTTGGGCTTTTTTGATCATGGGTTATGTAATGAGCACAGAACCAGGATAAATTGTCGCTCCAAAGAAATTTATTAACTTGTACAAATTCCAAAACTTTTGGCTAGATAAACATGATCTAAAAGAATATGTCAGGCAAAGAGTGGGAGCACATGCATTCATGTTACAGACATGTAAGGTTGAGTGCATATACATGCTTGTAATGGAAAAGTAAGAGTGAGTGCACATGCATGTATATGATGGACAAGTAAGGATGATTACACGTACATGCACGTTTCAGACAAGTAAGAGGGAGTGCACCTGCATGCTTGTTATAGTCAAGGGTTAATAAAAAATTAAAAATTGAGCTTTCCACGCAGGATGACGACTCAAAGTCAACCTTCATTCCATTTCTTTGTGCATTTTTGCTTTTTAAAACCATTTTCAACTATGTAACTTAAAACCATTCTAATTCAGAATGTTCTATGAAAAGGGACAAAGAATGGATAACATAATTTTCTTTGAGGAAGGCTCTAAGTTCGTCCAGGCTGGCCTCAGACTCCGTAGGTTGCTGAGGATCCCCTCAAACTTTTGATCCTGTGGAAATAAAATATATTTCTATGACTTAATTAAAATACTCTGTATTTTATTTGTGATCTTAAAAGGTATTTGGCAAAATGAAGTAATGAATGCCCCAGTCGGAAACATACTTATTTTATAGAATAAGGAATGTGCTTTCTAGGTCATGTACCAAACTGCATATGGGTGATTAGTTAGGGAAAATCACAGTTCATTGTTCTGTGCTTTTGTTTGTTTGTTTGTTTCCTGTGCTGGGGATCCAAGACAGGGGCTAGCATGGGCTAGGCAAGCACTGTATCCCTGAGCTATATCCTCAGCTCTCAGAAGTACTTGAAAGATCTCTATGGAAGCTTTTGGCATTGGGAATTCTATTCCATCATCCCCTAAAGAATTGTATTAATCATTTCAGTTTTTAAAATTGCATCATTAAGTTATTGGTTGCGTATTCTCTGACTATGTGGTCTTACTTTGCAAGTGGGTCTTGTTCAAATTTTGGAATTTCACCAACTTTTAAGAAGAGATCTTTATTCGGGTGGTGGTGGCGCACACCTTTAATCCCAGCACTCGGGAGGTAGTGGTGGGTGGATCTCTGTGAGTTCAAGGCTAGCCTGGTCTATAAGAGCTAGTTCCAGGACAGGCTCCAGAGCTCCAGAGAAACCTTGTCACGAAAAACTAAAAGAGAGAGAAAGAGAGAGAGAGAGAGAGAGAGAGAGAGAGAGAGAGAAATCTCTGCTTAGTGTGTGTGTTTCAAGGACTAGTCATGCTAACAGGAAAATGTTTACAGTCTTCAAATTCATGCTATAAAACTGTACATTTTATATTCTATAAAACCAGAAGATTGGGAAGGTAGAGGCAGTGGAGCTCTGGGAGGTTGAAGTCAGCCCAGTTTATGTAGCAAGTTCCAGGTTACGTCAAAGCTACAGAGTGAATAGTTTGGCTCAGAAAATCAAAATGATAGCAGTAACAAAAATTAAGTTGTCATTCCCCCTCATACAGCACATACATTCACACACACAGCACACATTTTTACACATACACACAGCATTCACACACACACACGCACACACACATAAGCATACACACATACACATTTAGGCACACACACACTTAGATATAAAGATACACCCACACACAGAGACACATACAGACACACATTCACACACAGACACACACACCTTCACACACACAGAACACACACACAAACATATAAAGGCACAGACACAACACTTAAATACAGAGACACACTCACACACAGAGACACACACAGACACACATTCACACACATAGCACACACACATACAAACAAAGGCACAGACACAACACTTAAATACAGAGACACACTCACACACAGAGACACACAGACACACGCATTCACACACAGCACACATTCACACACACACACACGCATGAGCGTGCACACACGCAAGCACGCGCATGTGTATACACACATACACACACAACAGTAAAGAAGGGCTGGAGCGGGAGCTAAGTGGATGAGCATTTACCTCAGTTTCATACCCATAATGAAACCTCACTTGAGTCCCCACCCGCATATTTTTTTCTGAAAAATAAAAAATAAAAACAAAATCCAGGAAAATGCTGGGTATTAATATTCCACTTCTTCTCCCCTTTTCCCATCACAGGTGCTGTGGATCCTTACGTAATTGTGAAGGGCGTGGTGGGACACCTTGTCACACTGCCGTGTACTTACTCAATATACACTGGAATCAGTTACATGAGTTGGGACCTCGGGGAATGTCGGTATTTTAACAATTATAGAACACTTGTCCGGGCCAATGCATATCAAGTGACCTATCAGAGGAGCAGCCGGTACCAGCTGAAGGGGCGCATTTCTGAAGGAAACGTGTCCTTGACAATAGAGAACGCTGTTCAGAGTGACAGTGGTCTATATTGCTGTTTAACAAAAATCCCTGGATCTTTCCGCTCTGTAACCTATTCGTTGGACGTTAAACCAGGTAAGCGTTCTGTGTTTCCTTTGTTTATTTCTTTGCAAGTGATCTGAGTCCTCTGTTTGCTAATATGTTCTTTTTCCCTCTAAGAATGAAACCAGAGGTTGTTATAATATATTTGTCCATAGGTGGAGACTTCTACTCCCTGTCTGCCTTGCCTGGGGCCTTTGAAATAGGTCTCATATCATATCAGACAATGTGTTGCTTGAACAATGGAAATGTCCTGATAGGAGAATAGTCCCTCCAATATCTGTTCACGGTCACTCGGCAGTGTAATAGCATGAGGAACAGCAGTTAGTCCTTAAAGGACGCAGACACACAATTCTGTCCAATGAGCTTTGTTAGAATGGGGAGGCCTCAAGGCCGAGGTCAGCCCTCCAGCTGGGAGGGAGAGCATTAGACAGAAACCATACAATCTGTGAGGCCCATCCCTTGATGGGGGTATGAAGAGGCTTCCAGGAAAGGAGGGCCTTCTCTTTACAACCTGGAGAGGAGCTTCATTAAGAATGTGTGTGTGTGTGTGTGAGAGAGAGAGGTGGGGGGAGAGGGACAGAGAGAGAGAGAGAGAAAGAGAGAGAGAGAGAGAGAGAGAGAGAGAGAACTGCTGTGACTGGAATGGTAGGGCAGAGAGATGATCCTCTTTAGATAGCAGCCTGCAACATATTCTCAATATTCCCCCTGGTCCCCAGAGCAAAGGAAAAGTCTGATGTGTTACAATCATGTTATAATAGGCTTGGCCTATCCAGACTCTGGGATCTGGTCTAAGGGTACAAGCCCATGTTCGAACACTGAGAAGTTCATGAATGCCCTAAATCTGGACTTATTTCTTTCTTTCTCTCTCTCTCTCTCTCTCTCTCTCTCTCTCTCTCTCTCTCCTTCTCCCCCTCCCTCCCTTCCTTTCTTCCTGTTTATTTTTTGTTTGTTTTGTTTTGTTTTGTTTTTCCGGACAGGGTTTCTCTGTGTAACCTTGGCTGTCCTGAAACTTGTACTGTAGACCAGGCTGCCCTTGAGCTAACAGAGATTCCCCCCCCCCCCCGCCTCTGTCTCTGCTTTAGACTCCCTTGTTCTCAGATAGAAGGTGTGTACCCTTTTACATTTTCCTTCTTCATGTCCATAGCCTGATTTCTTACATTGACTAAAGAGTAGGCTTACGAGGACTTTCTGGCTTCTGGTGAAGTTTCTAATCTCCTTTTACCAAGGGCTCACACAGATAATAGAAATCAATACTAGCCTGTCTCTGTATTCTTAAATTAAGAGCATTGCTCTGCAGTCTCCCAACTTATAGACTTTGTTTTTCATTCATCCACTCATTTATTTTTATGCTTAATTGAATTTTTAAAACTGCATTTATTATTGTATGTATAAATGATGTGTGTGTGTGTGTGTGTGTGTGTGTGTGGTGGGTTTGCATGCCATGATGGATTTGTCAGAGGGCAAACTTGTGGGGTTTGTACTGCTTTTATACCCTTATGTGAGTTCTAGGGATGTAAGTCCAGCTGTCCAAGCTTGCAAGTCAAGTGCCTCTCTCCATTATTCTGTCTCTCTGCTTATTGATTGATTGATATTGAGACTGTGCCTTGCTTTGCAAAATCAGGCTGACCTGGAAGTTCTTTCATGTACCTTAGTCTCCCCAGGGCTGAGATTACAGAAATGTGCCACCATATCTCGTTAGGGTGCAGTCCATCCTTATGGGGCAAGGAGCTGCCTTGAAAAGTATGGCTGGGACGCAACTTGGGGAGTCCAGAAGAAGCTGGTCACAGGGTGTGCAAAGAGGGATGTATACAGACATTTTGGGGTGAGAGACAAAGTTCTGAGTGCCTATCCCAGTTGTGAAATAATATAACTTATATGGCTGAAGTTGAATAATTTTGGCCTCCGAGGGCACCCATTCATATGAGAATAAACCCACATTCACACACACACACACACACACACACACACACACACCAACACAAATCTCTCTTTTTAAAAAACTGCCTTAGAAGATGTGTAGAAATTTGTTTAGCATTCCTGAAGTTCTGTCCCTAGAACTCAAAACAATAAAAAAAATACAGGCCTTGGCTGTAGCTTGGGAAGGCACTTGTCTAGCACACGTTGCTGCCTAAAACCCTGGGATTATATCCCCAGCACCAGAAGGGGAATAGGCATCCCACCATAGCATAAGGTTACTAAATTCGGTTCATTAATTGAAGGTTTTATTAAACTTAGAAATTTGCTAACAGGTCAGTGCTTCCAAAGTCACTGTTTGACCACTCAGTGAGTCTATAAGTGAGCCAGCAACTCGGCTTCTTTCTTTAACAACCAAGTCTTTACATTTTCTCCTGATTTAAACATCTGGAGCTTCCTCTTCAGTTCTTCCAGGACCCTCATCAGTTCCTTTAAACTTTCCCATCTTCCTGGGAGAAAACCGCA